CAGCTTTCTTCTGTAGGTAAGGGGAGCAAGAAGGAACTTTGAAGCTTCATCAAGTGTGTGTGTTGTAGAAAGGAAACGCTTGCAAAAAAGAAAACAATTTTAAGGAAGAGACCATGACTCTAGGTAAGAGATGATGAGAGCTGAAAGTGAGGGAGTCAGATGGACTCCAGATGCAAAAGTAGGTGGGTGGAGGTGGTGACAGAATCCATGACGGCTGCGGGAAGAAGACCTGAAATGACACGAGCAGCAAGATGGAGGAGATAGCTTCCGTCAGACCTCGTGCTGGGCGACATTTAAATATTCTCCGTCTTCACAGCTCTGGGAGGCAGGCAGAATTACCATAGTCTCATTTTACAGATGATGCTTGGAGAGTTCAAAAGAACTTCTCAGTCATACAATTAAAGTTAGGTTTCACACCCAGGTCACTGCTTTAACCATCACGCCATATGGCAAATCTAGGCAGAGATGTATCATACACTGTTGCAGATCATGGCTATTTCAGCATTTAGGGGCAAATTCAGAAGATACACGTCTGGAAGTCATCAAGGTAGATAACAGTGTTGATCCACAGGTGAGGTCAAGTCTGCCCAACAAGACATCCAATCAGAGGCAAGAATGAAGTTTGGTGAACACTCATACTTAGAGCAGGAGGGAACCATGGCAAAAGCAAGCTGGAAAAGGACACTAAGGGGAGGTGATGTTGAGGGAGAGGCCCAAGAAGAGAATGTGAAGTGCTGCAAAGAGCTAGAACGTGACCAGACTAAAACGAGGATACCAGATTTGCCATTACTAAGGCTTTTAGCCAAAACAGCATGGGTATTGTAGTGGGAGCAACAAATAAACAGCAACAAAGCTAAAGGAACAGGAATAGTGTTAGGGGCTCAAGGATCCCCGTTTTTAAAAAATCACCGTGAGGTGCTGTAGACCATGTTGCATGCGGAACCACAAATGCAGAGTGCCAGACACCGTGGCTATGCGAATTGCTCCAGCTTCATTGGCAGCTCAGGCTCAGAAGCAAACAGGAATGGACAGTGGAGCTGAACTTGGACATGAGGGAGCAGGGGCAGTGAGACAGGGCATGAAGCAAACGCCTTTGGACTGGTCTAGGCAGACAAGCTGCTCTTGCTGGAACGCTAAAGGTTTTTTAAAATTCAACAATTTGGAGGGCCTGTTTGGCAGTTCTTAAAAGCCTGGCTTTACCTTTGTATTATGTAAAAAGGATCTGACAAATAGATATACAATGTTAACAAATTTAATTTAAAAAGAATAAACCTTCCGCAAGTACACGAGAGGCATTGCTGGAACATGATGAAAACTGATACACCAATTACTATTCTTTATTCTTCAAGCTGATTCCCCCAAAGACTTCCATTTAGCAAATACTTTTAAAAGACTGTGTACAGCAAAGGAAGCAAAGAGCGATTTATTTTTATTTCATTGTTCAGACTGGCTGCCATCCCACTTAGATAAAAGGAAGGTTTTCCTGGGTCGTCATGGCCAGTGCTTGCATGTCGTCAAAGCACTTGTAACTGCTTCTCACTCTTGCCACACCATTGGCTGGGGACATGTTAACATCCCCATTTTGCAGGTGGGGAAAACAAAGGCCAAGGGAGATGAAAACATAGCCCAAATACCAAATTTTCTTGCTTCTGTCATCCACCTCTGTTCCTGATTCTTGATCTGTTAGGTATTCTGGAAAACTCTCCTCCCCACTTCTCACCTCTGAGTTTGCAGGCTGCATTGCTGGAATACTACACAGTAACCCAGATCTGAAGCCTGCAATCTCTACCCAGCTTTGTCATTAGCAAGACAAACCTTTCTGTAACATACTCCTAAAATGCCCTCAGAGAGACCTGTAAGGGCACTTGTTGTCACTCAGCCGAGATTTTTCTCTTCTCCTTTGGGATGGGTCCTTTCGGACAGGGCCCATTACCCAGGATCACAATGATACATGAACTACTGTAGGAAATGTTAGCTTTTCCTGCAACAAAATTAAAACAGCTAGTGTTTACTGAGCACCTACTGGTTGCCATGGATTATGTTAACCATTTCACATACATTATCTTGCCCTTGTGATAATCCAGCAAAAATTCTTACCCCTATTCTGTAGATGAGGACATTGAGGCTATAAAAGCCTCAGTGATTTGACCACCGTCACTTAGTCTGACACAGTATTCATAACTCAAGTCTGCCAATTGCCAAAAGCCACCTGATTTTTACTATATACCATGGCCCTGACTTAGCACCCTATGAGTACACAGAGACCCATCCCAAAGTGGCAGAAGACAAGCCAGGCAAGATTTAGCTTTTTAATTCTAGCAAAATGGCTCACAACCCAGACTCCAGTGAGGCAAATTCCACGCTATTTCACGCAGCCAACCATCTGATCTGCCAGGGCACTGGGAAGCTAACGAGTCAAAGGGCTCCCTGGCAGGTTTGTCCTGGCAGCTACCCAGCTGACTTGCGCTATTACAGCACAGGAAAGGGTCTAGAGAGAATGGAAAAGCACCAGACACTGAGCCACTAAGTGAAGAGAAGTGATTCCTGCTGCGCTCAGACAGGATAACCCTGCTCCAAAGGCACCACCATCACGAGGCTAGGAAAAGACCTTGGGTTGGAGGGCAAGAGTCAAGTACACTTACTTACTGATGTGTTTCAGTGAACTGTGACTGCTGGGCTGGTTTAAAAGAGGGTCACATAACTCCAAGGTGAGTTAGCAAGCATGGAACAAAACCAGTCCGCGCTCTGGTTCCTTCCAGCAACCCTGACCTCTGTTTGCCCAGTCACTTAAGTCCTGCTACTTAAAGTCACTGTGCACAGGGACGTGTGTGCACTATCTTACAGTTACTACGGCAGCTGCGGATCTCCTCTAGCTCATGGGAAAGGAAGACTGAGCAGAGAATATTAATAGACTTGCTAGAGCCAGAAATTCAGCCAGGACATGCCTTAGGAAATGAAATTATTTAAAACAGGGGCATAAAGTGAGACTGGAAGAACAGAGCAACTTGGGTTTCCAAAGATAGGGTTTCTTCAACCAGACATTGGTAGGAGGCACACTAAAATATCTGCAAGTCTAAAAATGTCTGTGGGAAAAGTCTTTTGAGTATTGTTCCTATGGCTTTCCATCCTCAAATATTTTGCTTAGGTTGACACAAAACTACGTGTGTAGGACACCCAAAAGAGTTTTCAATGAAAGTCAATCCTGTGAGAAGTTGTTAGGAAAAAAAAATGTCACTTTCAGATGTCATTAGGAAAGGGATATTTTTTGTTGTCAAAGTGGGGGGGGGTCAAACCCAGGACATCGCTCACACACTAGACAAGTCTTTTACCACTGAGTTGCATCACGACCACCACCCTGGCATAAGAGGGATATTTTTGAGGACTGTAAATTGGCCACCACTGGTTCAAAGTAACCCAAGTATGTTAGCATGCTTAGATTTTTTTTAATGAACAGCCAACATTTTTTAACCTGTTTCACAGATAAAAAAATAATTAAAACTCCACTGAACTTTCAGCATTCTTAAGGGAAGACTAGTGCCACCCAGCATGCCCCACAAATTGGAAGCTGAATCGCTACCGCCCCCTCTTGGCAGTGCTGCGCTTTGCACATTTGTCATCCCTTGAAGAATAAAGATTTGCTATTTCTGATTTAGCCCATGGAAGCAATCCCAGGCCTAGTAATGATCAGGACCACCACAGGGTGGCAGCACTGGCCTGGTACTGCAGAACGCCACCGGCCAGAACCTGTAATCAGAAACTTGAGTTTAGCAATCCTTTTGAACCAGAAATCTCACCTTCCTTGGGTAGCAGTCCTGCACAACTCTCATCAGATTGAGTCCACAAGGGACAATAGTAACTCAGCTTAATTTCTTCACTAGGCCACAGCGACACTGGACATAATCTTTTCCTCAGGCCACCACTGAAGCATTCTTCTTCTAGCACTGCCCACTCCACAGCTGGCACCTCCACCTGTGCAGGAATTCTCCCCTCCCCCATTAAGGCCACCAGACCCCAGGGAAGAGAGATTCTGAGGTAGGAGCCACAGCAAACGCCTCCCACCGCTGTGCAGTGATCAAAGTGGGTGCTTCCCTTGCACTTAGCTAAACCCAGGCTGCTTCATGAGGCAGCACACTCTTCTCCCTCTTCCAGCCCTCGGCTCACTGTCCTTCCCTTGCCAGCAACATCTCAATTAGCATTAACTCTTCCAACCCTTTCAGAAAGACACCTGCAAGTATGTATGGCCTCTTAAAACTGTTCCATGTCACTCTTCCAGAAGCCTTATGTACGATAATCCTTGAGGTACTTAAGCTTGGGAACAAACAGAAACAATTCAAATATCCAGCAATAAGGAAACCTAAAACTCAATTTTTGCTATATTCTACAGAAGATACATATTAAAAACAATTATGACCATGTGATAACATGAAAAATTATTTTAAGAAATGTGAAAAAGCAACATAAAATTTAAAATATAGTGATATAACTACCTATATTAATTAATTTAATTTTCCTTTGGTATCAGGAATCAAAATCAGGACTTTGCACTTACCAGGCAGGGGCTGTGCCACTGAGCTATATTCCTGGCATAATTACCTTTAAAAATTACACAGAAGTTGGAGATTTAGCTCAGTGGCATAAGTGCCTGCCTGGCAAGCACATGGTGAGTTCAACCCCTAGTACCAAAAAAAAAAAAACACTACACAGAAAAGTAGTGAAAAGATAACGAAACTCTCACAGTGGTTGTATTACAGTGCTGGGAGTGTGGTTACCTTGTTCTAATCCCTATATTACCTTTATTATGGAGAAAAGCGGGGTGGTGCACCTGTGAGCTTTAGACTTCAGAAGAGCTACTGCCTCTTACCGTGACAGTGGAAGGCTCTTGGGAACCAGAGCCTCCAGAATGCACAACAATCACTCATAAAATTGAAGTTTCCAGGTCCCGGAGTCCTTAATTGCTGTCCTACCCCAAATACTATCTAGAAGACAAGGTTCGATCAAAATGGTTCTCAGATGCCACTTTAATCAAGGTTTTCACTACACAGTGATGAGGGGTGGAAGATGGTGACTGTTTTCAGGCAAATTCACCAGGCACATGTCCCTCCCTGCCCCATGAACAACCTGTGCAACTGACAAGGGAAAAATGCTTTCCTTTCCCAGAGATTCCCATTCCTGAGCTAACAAAAGGACTTCAGAAAAAATGAACACCAAGGATAGGGCAAACTAGTCAAGGGAACCAGGTAGATTTCTGAATTCTTCCAGTGCAAACTGGAACTAGACATGTGTGCACCCTCCTAACAGGAACACCCAAATCCCAGCCATTCCTACTTGAGGCCAAACCACCTCTCCAGCATACTGAAAGCCAATGTCCGTCCACAGCACTCCTCTGGGCAGTACATCAGAGGAAGCGTGGAAGCCTGAGCAGTTGTGGACCCCATGCTACAGATTTAGCCCTCCTCTTGGCTGGCCCTCAGCTGCTCCTTGTGTCTCCCTGGCTATTAAGGAGCAGCCAGTATACATGAGGCCGAGGGGTGCAGAAGGGACCAGAATAAGCAGCAAAGCAAATCAGATGTATGTTCTGGGGCTGAGTTGACATCACAGCAGGACCAGTCCCAGCCCTGTTGACCATAAGGTCTTGAGTCTTCCATTAATTCTTCTCTGGGCGGTTTCTGTTCAGGACAGATTTAGGGGCAAATTCCAGCTTGTCCTTAAGGCTAAGCACCTGGGTGTGATCCTTGCCTAGCAGTTCATCCAGCTTACGATCTTCCCGACGCTCTGAGATGCTCTTCTCTTCTTCCACAGGCTGGGGATCCTTTCCCCTGATGAACCATTCCAAGTGGTAGCCCACAGCCCCAACCACGAAGGCCACAGGAAATGTGACATAAGGAGCATAGGTACGCACCACGGTCCAAAGGACAGGCCACATGACATCTGCAGAGGAGCACAAGACAGCATTAGGGAGAAACAATCACTCGCTCCTCTACCAAAAATGTGACAACCCACAAGGCACTCCACTTAACAGGCAGCCTGGCACAACTCAGTGAGTAGTCACCCTGTGCAGATCAGTACAAGAGGGTACTCTTTTATTCACTAGCTGCGTCCCTGAAATAACCTAGGAAATGCTGGAAGACTTAATTGTTAACAGAGGTAGAAGAATCTCTATTTTACGTACTATTATCTTTTGACAATTGTGTCCCCATATATGGCAGTGTTCCCCACAAAGGGACCTCTGAGCCTTTCCCAATAGAGGTTGTTGACCTCTGGCTCTCCCTTTCCAGTCTGCCAACATTTCAGAAAGGGAAAAGAAGCCCTTCCCTGTTCCACAAAATTTCTCCATAAGTATAGCCAGGAACCACATACGATCCCACTGTAAATCTCCTGGTTCTTCAATAATAAGTAATTTCTTTTCCTCAAGTATAAGGAGTGTATTTAAACAACTCACACATAATCTATGGCTTACCTTTTCTGGATTTTTTTTTTTTTAAAAGCAGAATATATTTTATTGAGAGAAAGAAAGCTTCTGTCTGAGAGAGAGGTCCCAAGTGGGTTGCCCACTTTTCTGGATCTAAAATAAAGATTTTATTCTATTCTTCACTTGGCTTTTCTAACAATGTATAGGAGTAACCTATAGTTATAAATCTGTTAGTCAAACCACTTATAAAATATACTATCTTTAACCAAACCTATATCCTTACATTTGCATAGTAAACTCCTAAACTTAAGACAAACCATTAGATATACTCTGGACATTCTAGGGTCCCTGGACTTGAAAATTGGACATTCTCTATAAAAACCACTATACAAGCCATGGTAGGATGTGAGAGAGTGAAACTGTCTTCTGAAATAAAGCAGAACAAAGTAATGTAAAAACACAGAAACTGGGCCACTCTAACGGTTCTTTAGTCACAAATGATTATTATCATTATTAACAATTATCAAAGACCATTCACAGTCATCATGATAGCTACCATTTACTGAGCACTTAATACATGCTATGCCTTAGGCTAAGTACTTTACACATACTTTATACACTTTTTTCATCCTCATGTCTGCCCTAAGAGGTTCCAATTCTCTTTGGAAGAATTCAAGTGTTCTGTGGACCTAAGCCGATAATGGACTATCCTAAAGGTGAAGGAAGAAAAACTGCAGGAGCTTCAAGTCTCCCCTGTCCTATTCCTAATGCTTTGTCTTAGCATCAGGCCTACACAGTTTTCACATTAGTTATCATCTGACCCTGACAACACCTACATGATATACAAATTACTACGGCAAATTTTTGTATATGGCCACAAAGACAATGTTAACTTGCCCAAGATTACTAAAAGCAACAGACTCACTGATTTTAGGCCCAGACCTCTCCAAAGCCTGTACACTGCAGATAGATACGTGGCTTCTGTCCAAATTCTGGACTTAAGAAAGAACCTCGTGTATATTTCCTCCCACTAGCTTAGCATCTTACTACCTAGAAGAGCTTCCACTTTCATAAAAATTCTGAGAGATTATACTGAGAGATCTGTGAAATTCTAAGATGTAGACAGTAAAAGGCACTCCTGAAGAATTCCTGTTTTATTCCCTGCCTTTTAAGGTATTTGTCTCTTTCCTAAACAGCAACTCTCCATATAATTTTCTGTCTTAAAACATATTAAACATCAGTCCACAACTAGGGTCCCTGGCTTATATTCATTTTCAAATAAGCATTTATTTATTTAACACTGATATTCAAAACATATTATCATTTTCTCAAAGTCAGGCACTGTGCTGGATTATTTTACTTGTCTGCATTTCTCAATACATCATAAAGTGCCAAAAGAAGGCTCAAGTCTACTGAGCCCACTTCATCCTAACCAGCTCCCTGCCCCTCCCACCCTTTCTGGTTGGTTGGTTGGTTTGTGGTCTGAGACCGGGTCTCACTACCAGTTCAGATTGGCCTTGAACTCTGTAGCCCAAACTGGCCTCAAACCCGGGATTACAGGGGTGTGTCACCACGCCCCGCCTTCTCCCACCCTTTCTGGCACAGACTGCTAAAAAAGTCTATTGAACGAATGAATGACAACTCAAGTAACTCACTAGTGTAAAACCACAGCAGTCATCCACCAGCAGATGCCTTTGCTGATTACGAGAAGCTAGAACTCCACTAAGTCATTCCCAGAATTATAAAAATGAAGGAGGCAAAAGTGTATTGCAAACTCTGTGACGCCTGTTTCCAGCCTGGCATGGAGGGAGCCTGCTAAATCGTCCAGTAGTAGGCAACTGGGCAGCAGGGAAACCTGTCCTTCGGACTGGAAGCCTCGCTATCAAATTCGAGATTTCCTAAAAGGAATAGGGGGCCTGGGAAAGTGGGAGGATCTACCCCGACTGTCACTGGAGCCCAATTCCGAGAGAGGAGCGCAAGGTCAGGGTTCAATCCGCTGCCCTCCCTCGGCCGCCGGGCGTCCAGTCCCCTTACCTCATCCCACCATACTCAGCCTCAGCCACACCCGCACTCACTCAGGTGCCCGCGGCCTAGACGAAGTGGCCACAGGAGACCAGTCGGGCAACGGAGCGCCGGGAGGCAAGGACACTGCCCGGCCCGGCTCGGGACGCAGCGGGCACTCTGTCCCTCCTCTCCTAACTCAGAAGTTACTGCCGGAAACCGTCGCCAAAGACAGGCGGCCCCGACAGCCCCTCCAGGGCAGGGAACGGCGCTCCCGACCCACGCTCACCTGCGGCCCAGCCTGCACTCCTCGGCCCCGCCTCAGCTCTCCGCCCGCCAACCGGGAGCGCGGAAGTCTCCGCTCCCAGCGGCCGCGCTTCCTCGGAGCGCAGGGAACCGCCGAGCTCCGGTCAAGGGATGAGAGGAAGCTAGACGTCCGCAACCAGGCCTGCGGGCCTGAAGTTGTGCAGCGCCCCCTGGCGTCTAGGAGGTTCTCCAGCGATGTCGCCACGCGCGTTTCTCGAAGAAAATGAAAAATCATCTATTCACTTATTTAACTGACACTTATTAGGCGTCTCGTAAAACCTAAGTAGGATACTCAGAAACATAAGATATGATCCCTAGAAGAAGCTTTCCTTAGCCGCGTGTAATCTAGTGCTTTAAAACCTTTTTGGAGCCTAGCTAACTTTCTACTTGTGTCACCTTGAGAACGCTATTAATCTATCTGAGCCGCCCTTGTTCTGTGTAGAGACAATAACATTCATGTAGCAGGGATATTTTGAGGATTAGATGAGATCATGTACGTAAAGTACTGTGCTAGGCACACGGCAGGCGCAGAAATAGATGATAGCTATTGCAAGTCTACTGATAATTGAACTATAGTAAAATCTGTTTTATATGAGCTCTGAAATATAAGTATTCACTCCCTACTCTGTGCTTCCACAGTCTATTTTACCAAGTACCAAAAAGGCCCCAGCGCTCAGTCTCCTTAATACCCCACCTGGCCCTCCCTTGTTAGCCTCATTCTCCTGATCTCAGCCTGACATATTTCCTCATCTTCGGTAACACATAACTAATTTCTCCCTACCCTCATCCACATTCCAGACTTAATGTCTGTGCCTTGATTTACCTTTTGCATCTACCCAGAGTAGTCTTCCCACCTTTCTTTACCAAAATAGCTTGTTTTTTTCAAGCTCATGGGTCACCTTCATAGGACGTGTTCTAGGTCACATTATCAGGTTACAGACCCTTCCTCTATTATTGCAAAGAACTCAAAGTTAAGCTTGCTAGCAAAGATGAAGAGAAAACAGCATGAAGACATATGTAGGAGACTATTTTTAGCAGAACTGATTTGCTTGTACATTGAATATGTAGAGAGGAAACAAGAATAGAATGCCTAGCATTCAGCCAGACAATCAACGTGTGCTAATTGGGGATGTAAACATGGCTGGGACCATTCCTGTCCTCAGTTCTGTCACTGAAGAGTAAGCAGATACATCTACAACACATCACCTTAGTGTAAGAAATGTGACGCCCAGCCAGGAAAAATGAGAAGGCTCCCTAGAGGAACCAGCCCTTGAGCTGCTTCTTGAGTACTAAGTAGTTCCCTCAAGCAGACCTGAGTAGGACTCAAGTCCAGACCTGGAAACCAGATGTTCATGGCTTCAACTTCTGACTCTGCTGATCCCAGAAAAGCTACTTACGCTGTTTTGAAAGACAATAGGATTCACCTCTAGAATTGTTGTATTAAATCATCTTCATGTGTATATAGTGCTTGACAAAGTACTTGACACCTCAATAAATGTTCAGTAAATGGTTACTGACATGTTAAGTATTCCCTAAATTCATTCCTCCTTCTGCAATGTTCTATGTCCATTTTTGGTTATTCATTAAACCAAAACCGTGAATGATATCTTCAAGGCTTTCTTTCTGCATAGTTCCCCAGATCTACCTTGTGGAATCTATGCCTAAATGTTTCCCAAGGTCAGCATCATTTTCTCTTACCTGGACCACTTTAGCACTTCTCGTGATGGTTTTCCTGTCTTCCCATTGCCCCCTCCAGTCCGTTTCCATTCTTCTGACCAAAAGGTCTTTCAGAAATTTAAATAAAACCATGAAATCTCTAGTTTGACCCTCTCATGGGTCCTTCTGTCTATAACTCCATGAACTTCACATAACTGTCCTAGTCTGTCACCTCAAATGACCCTCCTGCCCACCCTCCCAAGAAGCTGGAACTATAGGTCACCAAGCCCTGTTTTTAGGTATCTTGATTTTGGACTTCCCAGCAGGCACAGCTGTGAGGCAACTACCTAGTCTGAGGTATTCTATCATAGTAGCACAGAATAGACTTAAGACACTCTGATTGCTAGAGGACCCTTCCTCCTATATCTGCAGGCCCTCTGGGATAGTGGGCCTTCCATAACTTTCTGTTCATGTGCCTGGCTAAGGCCACACTCAGACCACAAGGACTAGATACCTACGTGCACACACACACACACACACACACACACACACACACAATCAGAACAGTCAAGAGAGATTTTAAACATCATGCTTGTAGTGGTTACAGGTGCTGATCATTCCTCTGTAATTTGCACCTACCTTATGACTCCAAGAAACCCAGCCCAGTTTCTGAGAAAGATTTAAGAACTGTATGCTATAGAAGACTAAACTTAGTCTCAACCACGTTTTTCACTGTGACATTTGGGTAAGTAGCTTAACTTCTCCGAGCCTCAGTTTCTTCGTGGGATTGCTCTAAGTATTATCTAGTTTAAAACTCATTCATGTGCCAATTTTAGAGATGAGGAAATCTCAGCGAACTAAAGTGGCCCAGGCCTCACTTGGCAAGTCCATGGGAAACAGACCAGTGAGCATTACTAGAGGAAGCCACTACCATCCACTCCATTCCCAAACCTGGCTGCGCATCAGAATCACCTGAAGCACTTGTTAGAAACTCATTCAGCACAGAGTTTATTCGCTAACGGCTTGGACCAGGCCCAGGAATCTTTATGGGATCAGCTCCAAGCTGATTTGCTTTTGGGAATTCAAACTACATAGGAGCCCTTGCTGTGAGCTCATGAGTGTATACGTACACAATATTTTGCTTTCCAGAAGCAGCTGCCAAGCCAGCCTGTAAGAAATGTTTACACCACTCCAGTTCAGACCCTTGCCATGACTCTACCCAAGCTTCAGACCCAATCTCCCCACCAGGACTGGAAGTTGACGTGATCAAGTCCCCATACTCCCAGTGGCTTTTCTTCTCCTGGTCTTTGCACCACTGCTCCTTGATCTTGGGACATTTTTCCCAGTCCCAAGTGCTCCTTTTGTGACAAAGACCTAGTGACTTCTGACACTCATGGCTTGTATGTTTAACTGCAATGTTTATTTGTCAGTTTCCCCCATAAAACCATAAGCTCCAAAAGGATAGAAACTACATAATTTAGGGCTATCTCAGTGGTAGCCTCAGTAATAAATGTTTTCTGGGTAAATGAATGGGAAGAATGAGCTGGTCCAGCGTGGTCCCAAAGAGCAACTGACCCCCTGGAAGGCTTCTTGCTCCTGGCCAGAGTGAGGCATCAACCCCAAGGGACTAGAAAGGGGGATTTCTGGAGGAGGCTCTCCTTTTGGGGCTGGGGAGGTTTTAGAACTGAAAAGCCATGATTTGGCTTAGACCTAGCTCCACTACTAGCTTTGTGACCTTGGACAGGTTGCTTAACCTTCCCTGAGCTTCAGCTTTCTTGCTTGGCATAAGGATGCGCTGCATGCACATAAAGCACTCCTCCATTTTCTGAAACATGTTAAGCATTCAATAACGTTAGCCATCACCACTAGGTTTGGGTTGGCTTCCCCAGCAAGTTCTGTTCTACCTCCTTTTCCCAAAGAAGTCCACACACAGGAGGCATCAAAAGTGACAGCATTCCTCTGAAGTTTTCTGCTGTTGTTTGGGAATGACTGGAGCAGAAGGAACAATGTGCCCTCGGGGAAAGAAATCATATTTCTCAATACCTAATAATAACCACATTCCCTGTTTATCCAGCACATGCTGCGCACCAGGCACTAAGTCCTACTGTTTCCCTCTCTGGGGAAACCCTAGGAGGACTTAGGGGCAGATAGGGAACCAGGCTGAACCATGGGGAGTGAAGAGGTCAATGCCCTTCTCCAGGAAAGCCTCCTCTAGGCCTCCAGGAAGGTCTAGATCCTTATGGTGGCTGGATCCCCTTTCTCCAAGCTGGCCCATCAGCAGGAAGAGCTCAGACAACCCCTGTGCCCCAAAACAAGAGGGCAGTCTCCAGGCCCTTTCTCTGTACCCCCACCCCACACCAGGCAGAGGTGGCCCCTTCTCAGCACCCTGTGGGTGGAGGTAGCCTCTTCTGGAGAGAGCAGGTGGCTCGAGTGCAGTTCTGCGGTTTTATTTTTCCTGGTATACTCAAGGGGATGTGGGAACAGCCACAGGGGTGGTGAGGGGAAACCCCCATCTCCCCTCCCCAGCCACTGGGACAGGGAGAGGCCCAGGCGCCCTGGTCCTGGGTTGGTCCAGCCACTGTGGTCCCTGGGCCCTGTGGGCAGAGGGTTGAGGGTGGAGCCCTGGGAGGGTGGAGGAGGCTCCTAGGCGGGGTTGGGTAGTCTTCATAAAAAGCCACGAAGCTTGATCCCCCACGAAGCCCAGCCCCGCGGGGTTGGGGGGACGCAGAGCCCAGATGGGGGACCTGGCCCGGCCTGGCCCATGGAGGAGAATAATGGCAGAGATGGTGCCCATGGAGAGAAAGTGAGAACAAAGCGTCGGACCAGGAAGATGGGCTTCCAGGTGTGGGGCACGGGGTGGAGAGGCACGGCCCCCGGCCCAACCTGGGCGCCTTCGCGTGGGGTCGGGAAGGTAAAAAACCCACGAGAGTGTGACGGGCAGGAGGGGCCAGGGCGTGCGGTGCCGGCGGGGCGGGCGCATGGGGCTGCCCGCGTTCACAGTGACCTCGACGCTGGGTGTACAGTACGGGTAGAAAACCGCGGGCCCGGGCCGGGCTGGGCGGGCCGGGCGGGTCACAGCCTGGTCTGGGCCTCGGGGATGTAGATCTCGATGCTGTCGGCGCTCTCGGTGGCCGAGCTGTGGCGGAAGGAGGCAGCGCGCTTAGCCGCCAGGAGCCGCTTGCGCGCTTCCTGCCGCTGCCGGTCCACGGAGTCCAGGGAGCGCTCCTTCACCGGCACGCCCCGGCCCCGCGAGGGCTTCTTTGGTATCGGCGGAGGGACCTTCTTCTCCTCCTGTTGGGAGAGCGAAAGCGCGGCCGT